GGCCCTCTCTACCCAACTCCGCAAGACCTCAAGCTTACGGGCTGTCTCGCGCCGTTCGCACCTACCGACCCAGTCCTCTCGCCCGACTGGCCCCTCTGTGCACTCGACGAGCTCCTCCGCTCCGCCACGTCGCCCGTCTTCCAACGTCTTCCGGACGGCTGGGACGCCAGCGAAGTTGAGCTCGTGCAGACGTCGCTTGCGCTGATGCGAGTCGTCTACGCTTCGCCGTCGGTGCAGCAGAAGCCGGACCCGCCCACCCTGATCTTCGACCTTATCAAAGTCTTCATGTTGGAGAAGGACAACGGCGCGACGACGGGTACGAGCGGCGCGACGGCCGAAGTCTTCCGCGACGAGACTGTTCAGCGGTCGATGACTGCGCTCCTCGAACCGCTCGCGATCAAGCACTCGCGCTCGAAGCAGATCCTCCAGCCCGATACGCGCACATCCGACGCGACGATCGAAGGCGTCTCCGCCCGGCTAAGCACAGCGCCGTTCTACCAGCTCTTCACCGACCTCGTCGGCCTGTACGACTCGATCTCGCTCTCAGACCGGCTCTTCGGCCTCGTCCTCATCCCACCACTCGCCATGTCCTACCCAGCCGATTACCGCCGCCTCATCTGGACCGACTACGCCCATATCCTTCGACACCTTCGCTTCTCAGTCGACGACGCGATCAGCGACGTAGACTCGACTCGGGTGGAGACGGCGCTCGCGAGCTACCTCGAGCCAAGGGAGACGAACGAGGCGCTTCTCATGGCCTACGTCGACGCTCTCTCGTCGGGCGCCGTCTCGGAAGAGTCGACGCCGTTCCTTCACTTCGTCGCGCTGCACCATGTCGCGTCGGCCGTCTGCGTCGACGAGGCCGACTCGGCGAGTACAACGGCTGCGAAGCTTGTCAAGGCTTTGGTGGCGAGGCGGGCGGATAAGGTGTTGCAGCAGGTCGTGCGGTATCGGCAGGCGGTGGAGGGCGAGGACGTCAAGGTGCCGCCAGCTTGCTTCGACGAGGACGAGGCTTTCGTTGGCGAGCGGCAGCAGCGTCTGCGCGCGCTAGTTGGTGATGGCGGATCGCGGCAGTTAGATGCGCTGCTTGCGCGGTAGCGGTCGTGCAACTTCAGGCATTCTCTTCCAGAGCCAGCGACTACGGGAGACGTGAGGCAAACCCTGAACTCCAGCTATACAGGCACAGACCAAAACGCCGCGGAAAGAGTCGGTTACAGAGAAGGGCACGAAGGAACGGAATCACTCGAGGTCGTAAAGGATGGAGAGCGAGACGGGAAGCGGCCAGATCGTCTGCTTGGCGTCGATGTAGATCGGGCAAGGGGTTCCGGCGACGTCCTGGTGGAAGCGAACGAGTTGTCCGGCCTTGCCAGGCGCACGGCGGACGTTCGGCAGGCGGAAGATCTGTTCGCAGGGGGCGATCAGCGACGAAGGCAGTCTGGGTGGAAGGAAGCCGTGGCGCACCTGCTTGATCATCTGCACCATCGAGATGTTGACGATGGGCGCGCCGAGGCAGGTGTGCATGCCGTGGCCGAAGAGACGGTAGATGGAGGGGTCGCGAGTCTTGACCTTCTCAGGCTCTGGGAGGACGGACGGGTCCTGCCGTTCGCAAGCCTCGTCAGCGCGTTGCCGAGAGCATGAACGCAAGCGAGACGCACCATGCCAGCCTTGAGCATCGACGGAAAGACAAAGTCGCCCTTCTTGACGGGAATCTTGCGGTCGCCGTCAGGAATGGTGGCGTCGACCTTGGCGACGCGAGGGATGAGCGGGACTTGCGGGTCGAGGCGCATGGCCTCGCTGACGAGCGAGAGAATCTGGGTGTCGGCTTCGGGCGTGTCGAGCTTGGAGAGGCGGACGAGCTCATCCTTGTGCTCCTTGTTCTCGTCGGCGAGGAAGAAGTTGATGACCTGCGCCGCGGCCTGGCCCTGATTCGAGACGGATGCCGTCATCGTGCTCTGCACCGACGCCTCGAGCTGCTCCATCGGGCGGTCGTTCTGCAAGAGGCGCTCATAGTACTCGCGAGCGGCCTTGCCCATGACGAGACCCTGGACGTTCTTGCCAATGACCATGTCTTGGATGGAGCGAGCGAGGTTGTCGACGATGGCGGGGACGCCGCTGACCTGCGAGAGGCGCATCTTGACGATGCCGAGGACGGCGGGTGCGAACTCGGCCGCTGCTCTGCGAAGCTTCAGACTCGCCGAGACGTCGAAGTTCATGAAGACGCTGAGGAGAGCGTGCGTCAGCGGGAGGTACTGAGGATAGGAGCGATGAGAACGCACGAGATGAAGAAGGCGGAAAGCATGAGGTAGAGCTCTTGCGGCGTGAAGACTCCGTGCGGCGTCTCGGTCGTCTTGAGGGGGATGCCAAACTGGTACGAGCACCAGTGGACGGCCGCGAGCTGCAAGACGAACGAGATCAGCACAGGTTCTGCCTCGACGAGAACAGGCACACTCACGTTCGTCACGTCTCGCACAACGTCGAGCATCATCGTCTTGCCAACGTAGTTCCACGACTTCTTCTCGATCAGTTCAACCGTCTTCTCGGCGTAGAACTTTTTCATCTCGTCCTGCCAGCCGTACGGGAAAAGCGCCTTGGACTGGACGTCGCGGTCGCGGCGGTGCGCGTCGGGGTCATCGAGCGAGATGAAGTAGCCGAACGAGTTCGAGCACGCCTTGATGGACTCGTCGTAGATGACGCCGAAAGTGTCGGGCTTCGAGAGGACGTACATGGCGCCGGCGTAGATGCTCGTGCCGTGAACGGGCGGAGCAGGCTGAGGGCGCCGCATGTCGTAGTTCTCGGAGACACCGTTCTTCGTGAGGATCGCCTCCATCGTCGCCGGCGTCGTGAAGGGGAAGAGCGCGTAGGTGCTGTTGTAGGTGTACGAGCGGGGCAAGTTGCGCATGAGAAGCTTGCCAATGACGCCGCCGTACGAGCCGCCGTCCGTGTCAGGCTGGACGTCCTGAAATCCCCAAGACGTGAGGTTGGCCGAGCACAGGTCGGTTGTGAGGAAGCGGTCGCCGCGGACGAGAGCGACGGCGTCGGAAAGGATGGCGCGCGAGATGGTGTAGCCGGGTGCGAGACCTGAGCCTTCGCGCGATGGCTTGGCCTCCTCGGCGTGAAGACCGGGGAAGAGCTCGAGGTTGTCGATGTGCGAGTAGAGGTGGCGAGCGGCTTCGGCGACGGAAGGGTCCGAATTCCAGTCTGCGCGGTCGAAGGCGTCAGTGCGATAAGCGAGGCTGAGAACGAGGGAAAGGGAGCTCACCCTCGAAGTCGTTGAAAGGCTTGAGGTTGAGGAACTTGCGGAACTCTGCTCGCAGCGGAAGTCAGCCTGTCTTCGCGAACGAGGGAGCGGCAGTTTCTGCGTACCGTTCATCGTGCAGACGTTCCAATCCGTGCGCGCAGTCGCCATACCGAGAACGTCGATGATGCGCATCGCAACAGGCGAGCCGTTCGCACCAAACGCGCCCGCAACTTCGTCCGTCGCCTCGGTCAGGATCCGGCAGAGGTCGTTGTCGTCGAACGCTCCGCTCGCCGTACGCTGAATACCGGGAATCTCCCACTTGGTCGGGTCCGCACCCTGCTTCGCGTTGAGCTTGCCGAGCGCCTTCATGAAGTCTGCTTCGGTAACGTCGTCGAGCGAGACGTCGCCAAGGCACTGCTTGAAGACGCCTTCGATCCACTCTTCGTCTTTCTTGCTGATGGCGGCGTGCCAGCGGTAGAGGACTGCAACGGGAGAGCATTAGCATCGCGAGAGAAAGGAGGGAAGTGAGTTGGACGCACTGTTGAACTCGGCGGAGGTAGCGTTGCCCGTTCCGCGAGGAGCGTGACCGCTGATCAAGTTCTGGATGTCGGGACTCGGCGCGAGGTTCCAGGTCGACTCAGTCGTGTTGAGGTTGAGGATAGTGCGGACGTAGTCGTAGATCTGGCGCGCAAAGGTCAGGGTCAGGTTCGGCGGCGAGAGAGCGCAGGAGGCGCAACGCACGATGACATTCGTGAACCAGCCACAGTTGATGAGCCTGCCCTTCTCGAACAAGTCCATGTCCTGCCACTTGCGTCCCGCCTCGTCGAGCTGGTCCCAAGGCTTGTACTTGCCGTTCTCGTTGATCTGGAAGAGCTTCTCGACGATAAAGTTGTGGTTGCGGGAGAAGACGACGAGGAGGGCGACGACCGAGGGGGGCATGAAGAAAAGCCTGTTGGAGGCGACGACGTCCGGGTGGAGACGGCCTTGCTCGTACGTCCGGACGCCGTTCATCTCCTTCTCGTTGATGCCGTACAGGGGCGAAAGGTCGAGGTACGAAGACGTCTCGTTGATGTTCGGGTCGGTACGCGAGGTCTGGAAGCAGGAGTGGATGATGATGGTCGCGAAGGAGAAGAGGAGCGAGGAGATGCCGGACGGGTGAGGCTTGAACTCTTTGCGGCGGAGGAGGGCGTCGAAGACGACCGAGGGATCAGGCATCTGAGGGGGCTTCGGGTGGCAGGGCGGGACAGAGCGGGCATACGCTGTCAAGAGCGAGGAGAATTAGCGAGAGTCGCAAGAAGAGCCGAAAGTCTCGACGCACGAGTTCCTGCCTTCCCGAGGCTCGGGTCCGTCAAGCTGGTGCCGTAGCCGTCAATAGAGCGGTACTGTGGGCCGGTGAAGGCGATCGGCGGGTGCGAGAGGTCGTCCCAAAGGACCTTGAGAAGGGTGTGCGTGACTGGCTCGCGAATGGGGGAGCCCTGTGGGTCGCACAACGTCATCAGTATGTCAGCAGTGTCCTGTAGAGACAGTGAAAAGCGAAAGAGAGGCCGAGTGACGCACCTCCTGCTCCTTCTGGAGGATCGTGACAATGTTCTCGAGGAGCATCTCACGGTCGTCGATGGGTTCGCCCGCCAACTTGGCAATCTGCGCAAGCGTCGCAATGTCCTTGCCGAAGACGCCGCTCTTGATCTCGTTCCACACGTTCGAGGCGAGCGATTTGGTGGGTTTGGCATCGGACAAGGCGCGCGCCTCCGAGTCTTTGAGGCCGTCACCGTTTGGCGAGGGCGGGGCAGCGAGGATAGTGTCGACGAGGGTCATGACGGATGTCTGGGACGATTTTGAGCGGGTGACTTTCGACTTGATGGTCGAGAGGAAGGAGGAGGACTGCTTGCGCTGTTGCGGCGTGGGAGCCGGGCGCTGAGGGCGCTGTGTAGCCATGGTGCGCGTAGATACGCCTGTAGCAGGCTCGAGCGCGACGGGGGAGTGAGGAGGACAAGGAAGAGCGCCAGGGCTGAAAGGAAAGAAGCGTGTGCTCGTTTCCCGTCCACCTTTCTACGTTGTGGGGCTGCCGGGGATCCACCGCATTTCCGGGAGCCGAGAACGCCATGCGCGACAGGAGCACCTGGAGCGAACGATTTACAGTTCAAAGATGAGACAGCTCACGGCCCCTTCGCAGGCGAGAGCAGGCAGCGTGCAGTGTGCTCTGCCCTCAGCCATCGACGGGGAGCGCAGAGCTCTGAGGATGCTGGATCACGTCGCGCAGCTCTGACGGGCTTGCCGCCACGCCCTGCGAAGGCGTGGGAAAGGCCTGCGAGGGTTGCGACCCTCCTCGAGGACGGGAAGCAACGCTTGCTATCTCGCTACGTCGTCAATCGTCTCGTTTAAGACTCGCACTCGATGTTGCCACGACATCCTGTCCCCTACTCCTCCGCTCCACCTCGCCTCCTCCGCTCCTTCCGTCGATTCCACCACCAACACCCTGCCCATCCCACAAACACCAGCACAAACAGCCCGACAACGCCCGCACCAAGGTATCCCGAGTTGTCGTTCACGGCGCGCCAGAAACGCCACCAGCGGCCGGCTGTTGCGAGGGTGTTAGCGAGCGAAGGAGGAGGGAAAGGGAGGAGACGGACAGAGGTTCGGGTCGGAGTCGGCGGCTGCTGAGCAGGAGGCGCATTTCTCCAGTGCGAGACTGTGAGAGAAACGAGTGTCAGTAGAAGCGAAGTTGGACGAGGGAAGGGATCTAGCGCACCCCATGAACTCCGTCTGTTGCGCGACGTCGAGCCAGTCAGCACACGCTCTTCCTCGCAGGAGGAGGACGACGCACGATAGAGATGAGCAACGCCACGACGATCGAGATGACCGTCAACGCGACGCTGATGCCCAGCAACTTGTCCTCATCCGCCCTCTTCAGCATCCCCATCCTCTCCCTCGCTTCCTCCCTCCTCCTCTGCTCCTCTTCCTCCCCCAAACGCCTCTCAAACAACACCCACGCCCTCACATCCCACCACCTCCCCTTCTCCGCTCTCTCCATCGGTGTATCGACCCGCTGAGGAAACGTATACGCCGTCAACATGAACACCGAATCGAGCGAGTCGACTGCTGTCATTCCGGCTGTGAAGAGGAGCGGGAGGAGGATCAGTTGGGCGGAGGGGAGGCGGTGTGGGCTCGAGGAGGCGAGGGCTGAGATGCCGAGAAGGGAGCTGGAGGGGGGATTGTCAGTCAGAAGGCGTAAGGGCGGAGAGGAGAGCGCACATCTCGCTTGCGGTGTCGAATCCGAGACCGAAGAGGACGCCTATAGGGTACATCTGTCGCGCAACTGCTCAGCGAGGATGGACTGAAGAAACGGAACGCTGGAGACGCACCTTCCACGGCTTGTTGATGAGCTTGAACAGCGGTCTGCCTATCCGCGCGATGCAGGTCATCGCTGGCAGCCCGAGTAGCTCGTCTGTAGCTCGAGTGGCCTTCTCCTCGTCCGTAAGCTCAGCCTTTCCCGCCAAGTCGCCCTCCTTCTCGTCGATAAGCTGCTTCTCGGCCAGCGGTGGGTTGACTTCTGTCGTCGATGCGGTTTTGGGGGCGACCGATAGGTCGACGGAAGTCGGCTGGAGGAAGACGGGAGGAGAGAGGTTGGAAGAAGGTAGAGAAGGTACGATAGCGAGTTTGTCCGGTTGTTGGGCTTCGAGAGCTGCCTGGTCTCGTCTCTGCGAACGAAAATTCTGAGCGTCGATCCCCCACTGTGCTTTACGCATCGGCGAGGGAGCGGAGACGAGACGAAACGCAGACTCACCCGCCTACGAACGACACGAAGAGACTGCCACAGCATGACCGAGTTGATGACGGCTGCAGCAATCCGATCAGTAGGTTAGCTTCGCCTCAGCAAAGCGCAGCAGCAACGCGCCGACTCACCCAGGAGGAACAAGAAACTCGCGCTGACCGAAACGCCAATGAGGCCTCCAACGCTGCTAACATTCGGTAACTTGTTGATAGCAGACGTTGCGATGATAATTGCGAGCGTCATGGCGATCACAATTGTTGAGTGGCCGAGCGAGAAGAAGAGGCCCACGGTGACGGGCGTCTGGCCGATGGCGACGAGCGAGCGGGTGGCTGTGGGAGAACGTCCGGGTGAGCATAGGGATGTTTCAGAATTCGAAAGGTGCTCACCGTTGTCTATCGCGACAATGTGATCCATATCTGCGCATCGAGAGGAGGAGAGGAGAAGACGAGCGAGATCAGCTGCGCTCTTCGCGCACCACGCAGCGCCCGTACATGCCAGAAATCTGTACGCACCGAGCCCATGCCGCAGCCCCAGCGTCCACGCTACCACGCACAAACTCAAGACCCCCTTGCGCGTCTCGCTCGTCGCGAACGTGCAAGCCGCCGCGACCCATAGTGCCACGTTGGCCACCAGCTCGCCCGACAGGAGCATTACTGAGCGTCCGAGTAGAGTCGGACGGTACGGGCGGCATGGGAGGCGTGGGAGATAAGGTCGACGAGGCCGAGGTGGGGAGGGAGGAGCAGCGGGTGACAAAGGCGGCGCGGCAGCCGCCGACTTGTCTCGCATGCTGCAGTGCGAGCAGTGCAGCAGTCTGAGCCAGTCAGCTGGCCCGGCGAGCGAGGTGAGCGTGAGGAAAAGCTTGAAATGCCAAGCTTGTGAGCGGAGGAGGCGGAGTTGCGATCCGGCGGCCATTCCGGACGATTGATAGCGAAGTAATGCGACTTGCAATGTTACAACGACACGAGAACGACGAGAAGTCAACGATTCATGTAGGCGATCATGGCCTTGCGCTCCCTCTCCTCGCGCTTCTTCATCCGCTCCATCCCTCGCTCCCCTCTGCCGCGCTTATCCCGCTCTTCCCGCTCCTTCCTGCGCCGCTCCCGCTCACGCTCCTCATGCGTCAGTTTCCTCTCGCTCTTTCCGCCACCGCGGTCCTCGCCAGTCCCCAGCCCCAGTCCCTTCCGGTCGTGCTTCTCGACCGGCCGCAGCGGGACCCTGAGTCCTCGCCCTTCTCCCTCAGGCGTGACAGGCCCAAGTGTCTGTCCCTCCTTCCATCCTTGCCGCGCGAGGAGTTGCCACCCAGGCGAGTCAGGGCGGATGGCGTAGTGAGTCGGCGGAACAAGCGGTTTGAAGCCGGCTGGCTTTCCGGTCGTGTCCGAGGAGGTCGAGGCAGGCGGGAGAAGCTGGTGGATGAGGAGAGGTTGGAGGCGCTTGGAAGGCGGCGCATCGGCTGAGAAAGCCCCGTAAGGGGAAGATTGGCCGGAGATGCCGCGAGATGTCGAAGGTTGGCTCGTAACGCTGGATGAGGAGGGCGAGGGGAGGGAGGACGAGCGACGGAAGGGGACTTCGGGAAGGTTCGTGAGCGGGTCGATGACGACGACATCGTCCGAATCCGAGTCCTCCTCCTTCACCCGTCTGGCGCGGCGAGTCCGTCTCGTTGGACGTTCCTCCTCGTCCTCTGAGTCGGATGAGAGCACGATGTCCGCAGTCTCCTTCGTCGTGTCTCGAGCGAGACGCGATGAAGGGGGAGAGGCGGACCGCTTGAGGGTCTGGGAGGAAACGGATGAGGAGGTCGATGAGGTGGAAGAGCCAGGGTGGAGAGCGGTCGAGTTTGACGGAATGAGCCTTGGCGGAACGGCTGCTGAGCGCGACGGAGAAGGTGGCGGAGGCGTAGATCGCTTCGAGGTGGAAGGAGACGAATTCGTCGATGCGGGCGCTGAATGTACCGAAAGCCCAACAATCGACTCGTACAGCCCGCGCACGGACGGGCCTGGAATTGGTGCTCGGCGCTGGATGCTAGATCCTGCGCTAGTGGACGCTGCCGGCTCGACAGCGATTTCTTCCGCCACGATGTCCGCCTGAACATCCTGCTCAGCGACATCCTCAACCGCCTTTCCCTTTCCTTTCCCTTCATACTCCGTTTCGAGCGTCTCGTGAACCTCCTCGCTCACCGGAATGACCCCAAACGCGCTCAGCTTGGCCGGCACGAACCGCATCCTCCCTCGCCTCTTCGTTGTAGGCCCATAATCTGGCACCCACTCGTCATCGCCATCGTATTGCGTCTTCCTTTGGCCCAGTCCTGCCCGCCGAAACCCCAACGCAGCCTTCTGAGGTGCGGGAAGGGAGGCAACGTCTGGATCTGCCTCGTTGAAGGAGAAGATGAAGCGGGGCGGTGGCGCGGTTTGGTGGGCCATCGTCTGGCCCTAATAGCCTCCAAACAGCAGTCCGGGCGCGCTCTCAGCAGCAGATGAAGCCGAATCGCAGCGGTGTGGCTGATGTCAAGAGGCGACGTTGCGAGTTGGCTTCGTCAGGCTCCCTTGTTGAGCAGCTTGACCTGTTCCAGCTCGCCAACATGCTTGAAAGTGGTCTACGGAGCTTTGCGGCTTGTCAAGCGGCTTTCACTGCGCTGCCTCATCGCACCTGTCCCTCCCCCACATCCTTCATCTCTCGACGCGCTCGACGACCATACTCTGCGCATCCCGTCTCGCCGGGCCTGCCGACTGCACAGACGCCTCAGCGAGCGCTTCTATATGTGCCCGGGTCGAACGAGAAGGCCCTGAAGAAGGCTTTAGGAGGAGGGTTGACGGGCGAGGATGTGCCGGATGTTGTCACTCTCGACCTGGAGGACTCGGTTCGGACCGAGAAGAAGAGCGAGGCGAGGAGGCTGGTGCGGGAGTAAGTGGGCGCTCCTTGGCCGGAGGACGTGTGACTGACATCGATTCGCTTCCCGCGGTTTCTTCGCAGAGCGCTCGAGGTAACTTGCAGTCCTCTTGCTCCGCTATTACCCCTGCTCACAACCGTCTTCAAAGAGTGCACCTGACGACCTGAAGTCAAAACGGTTCGTGCGGATCAACCCGGGCCAGGCAGGTTTGGACGACCTGGAAGCCGTCGTGCGTTTACAGCCTGGTGCCCTCCACTTCGCAGGCATTGACGCAAGCTCTTTCCGCTGAACCAGCTAAAATCACGTCGTATCGACGGCCTGATCCTCCCGAAAGTCAACACCGCTCAAGACCTGCTCGCCGTCCACGACTTCATCGACCGACACTCGCCTCATGCTGAGCACAAGTCCTCGCTGAGGCTTGTCGCAAGCATCGAAAGTCCGAAGGCACTGCTGAATATGCAGGAGATTGCGAGCTGTTCGGACAAGGTTGGCGGTTTGCTGGTGAGTCGGGTTCTGCTTCGCTTAATCTCGTAGTCCTGCTGGCCGGCTGTACACCTTTTCCCGCGTCCTGACTTGCTGAACCGCAGTTCGGTGCCGAGGATTACTGCGCCGCCTCTCGCCTCATCCGCACACCGTCTCGACGCGAAATGCTCTTCGCGCGCTCGTCCATCGTCACTATCGCGCACGCCTACGGCCTTGCCGCTATCGACCTCGTTTGCGTCAAGTACAAGGGCGACGAAGCGCAGCAGATCTTGGAGGACGAGTGTAAGGAAGGACGCGAGATGGGCTTCACGGGTGCGTCCAGCGACTCCAGGCGACCCGCTCAGGCTCAAGAGGTTATTGACAAGGCGCCGAGACCATAGGCAAGCAAGCTATCCACCCTGCGCAGGTCTCAACCATCCAGCGAGCATTCGCTCCCTCACCGGCCGAGATCGAACGGGCACAAGCGATTCTCGCTCAGTACGCCGAGGCGTCATCGATCGGAGCAGGAGCGTACGGACTGAGGAATGCGGACGGAGGAGTAGACATGATTGATGCACCAATGCTGCTGCAGGCTCAGAGCATTATCGCTCAGGCAGAAGCAGCGGGACTGCTCTAACGGAAGGTGATGCGCGGTCCGTGACAGCGATACGATGTAACGACGCATACATTGCGAGCGCCTTTTGACGAGACTCCTGCGAGGGAAAGACTCCTGCGAGGGAAAGCGAACGTATGAAAGGAAAGAACGACAAGAACCGACAATCAAACTCCCTCAACCCGAGACCGGTATACCGCCCATAGATGACATCTCTGAACTCCTCCCTCTCTAGGCGTCCTCCTTCGCATCCTCAGTGGCAGCGTCCGCCGTGACCTCCGTCTCGCCCTCGGCGTTCTTAACAGCCTCTTCCTTCGAACCGTTCTCCTCGATCGGCTGAGGCTGGGCATCCTTGATCTTCTCCTCGCTCGCGGTAGCGTCGGTCGAGGCAACGGCGTCGACTTCGGCGGAGCCGGACGAAGAAGCGGCCTTGGCGATCTTGGCCTCTACGGCGGCAATGCGCTCCTTGGTGACGCGGTCCTGCGGCACGTCATCCGTCAGCGATGAAGGACCATGTAGGACGAAAGAAACGCACCTGGTTGTCGGTGAAGTATTTCATCTTCAGCTGGAGGCTGTCGATGGTCTTCTGGACCTCGCCGGTTGTGAGAGGCGCGGTGATGCCGAGGGTCATGAGCGCGGTGAGGGTGCCGAAGGGCAAGTTGAGCTTCTCGTCGCCAGCTGCCGGCGCAGCCGACTCCTCCTTGGCGGCGGGAGCGGCGTTGCGGCCCTTCTTGCCCTTTGACTTGGCGAGGCCGCCCCACGACTCCTCCTCCTGCTCGCCCTTCTTCTTGAGCACCGTGCCCTTCGGCATGTCGCCAGCGTCGACCTTACGGATCTCGAGGTCGGGAACACCTGCAACCTTCGGGCGGTTGAACAGGCTGCCGCCGTTCGCGCCAGCACCGTCTGCCGGGGCGAGACCGATGCGTTGCTGGAAGAAGCGGATGAGCGTCTTGCAGTCCTCGATCTCGCGCTCAAAGGCAGGCGCCTGCGCCTCCTCGAGCAAGCGTTGGTTGATCTCGGCGCGCTTCGAGTCCTCGGCCGCCTTGCGCTCGGCCTTGCGGCGCTCGTCGCGCTTTTGTCGGTCCTCCTCGATCTTCTTGTCTGCGTGACGACGACGACAAAAACGAGTCAGGACATGAGCGAATAGGCGGGTCCAAGCGAGACAACGGAAGCTGCCGACGCACAGTACTTGTTGTTCGCCTCACGCCATCCCATAGTCGACGCCTTCTTCTTGTCGAAAAGCTCGTCAAGCTGCTTCGAGACTGTGGGGCAGAGCCGTCAGCCAGGCTGTCCAAGCGAGCTGCGGTGGGAATGCAACGCACTCGCATTCCGCTCCTCGAACAAGCCGTCGCGGTTCTTGCTGATCTCGTCAAACTTCTTGTTGATCTCGTCAAGCTCCTTCCGCAACTCGCCCATCTTCTTGCTGACGGCCTTCTGCTCGGGGTCGTCGAGCTCCTTGCGAACCTCGTCGATCTTGGCCTTGTCGGCATCGATCGCGGCCTGCTGAGCGGCGAACGACTCGACGACCTTGCGCGACTTGCGGAGGGACGAGATCTCCGAGAGAGCCTTCTTCTCGTCGACGAGCTTCATCGAGCCGGACTCGACCTGGCGCTCGAGGGACCTGCGCGAGGAAGTCAGTCTCTATACGCCTTCGCCTGGTGGACGTTCGAAACTCACTTGATCTGGTTGTCGACGTCCTGGACAGTCTTGTAGGGGACCTTGGACCGAGCAGAAGTCATGTCGTCGATCTGCGAGGAGGACGGACGAAGGTGAGCAACGCCTGAAAGTGCTTTCGGATCACAAAGGCAGCCGCACCTTGCGCTTGAGAGCATCCTGCATCTGCTTCAGCTTCTCGAGCGTCTTCTCCCGTCCACCCTTGCCCTTGGCCTGCTCAGCCCTCAACTCGTCCATCTCCTTGCGAATCGCGAGCTTGCGCTCGTGGTCGGGTCCGCCACGAACCGAAGTCGACGAAATCTTGTTGCGAAGGTCGTTCTGCAGGAGGGATATTCGAGATCAGCACGGAGGAAGGGTCGTGTGAGGCCATTGTGCAAACGCACCGCCTTGGCCTGCAAGGCGTCGATCTGGCTTCGCAGCTCGTTTTGCTCTGTGGGATGAAGCTAGTCAGTCTTGCGTTAGCCATACAGTCGAGCAGCAGTGCGCACCGTCATCGTACGCCTTCTTGTCGGGGCGTCCGCTGGAACCCTCGTCCTGTGGGAGAGACCAAGGTCAGCTCGCTTCTCCAGGCCGCAAGCTCGCCGCGCCTCCTTCGCAGAAGGACATCCTGGCGGATCACGCACCTTAGGCTTGACCTCGACGTTGACAGCGGTGGGGTCGCCCTTCTGAGCGGCAAGGGGAGCGGCCGCAGACTGCTGCGCGGCAGCTTTGCGCTGGGCCTTGGTGAGCGGGCCGCTGGGAGCTGCGCCGGGCACTGTTCGAGTAGCAGCCATCGTCCAAGCAGGAAAGCGTCGTGCGAACAAGGGGAAGACCTCTGTCTGGCGTCTGGCGGATCTTCCTCGTTCGATCCCATACGCTCGCGCTGAACTGGGCTGAAGGCGCTTTGTCAGGCTCAGAAGGGATTGCACGTTGGCTTGCGCGCGTGTCGTACGCTTCCTACGCCCTGCTCGCCGTTTCCCACCGCCTCTCCACGTTCATCGTTCATCTCCCTCACGCCCTGATGGTCGCCCAACTGCCGCTCGAGCTGTGGTCGAGGGTGCTGAAGGAATCACAAGTCCCTCTAAGCATGGCTACTGAGTCTCGGGCTGGCGCAGACCCTCTGTCTCTTGGCCTCGTCGCCGTCTCCTTTCGCACTCTCGCACGACCGTCCTCAACCTGCGGGACTCGCTCTTCCCGGGCCGACCGCTCTCCTGGAGACACGTTCCTCCCCTCCTCTCACTCGAGTTCTTCGACATCGACACTTTCAAGGAGACTATCGAGGGCCACGTCTTCGAAACTGCTCATTCCCGCTTCGACTCGTGGCCGATCCTTCAATCATGACAGGGTCGTTCTGCAGCCAACAACGACGAAACATTCAAGAGGGTCGCCGCTTGCGTCGAGCACCTCGCAGCCTACACCGGCGAACCGTCGAGCGGTCGGACGGTCTGGCTCCCCGACCCGATTCGCACCGGCACTATCTCCTACAGAGATCTCTGCCAGACCCAGAACGAGATCAAACGCGACGGTGAGCGGATGACGCCGGCCGCCAGTGGACCTAGTCTCCAAGAACTCGTCGACACGGAGCGCAACGAGATGCTGGGGAGCATCGCAAACGCCGGGATCGACGCTGGGTGGTACTCGTTCTCGTGTCAGAAGCAGGACTCGTATCTCAACACGAGGATGCCGGAGGAGTGGGAGGACTACATCGAGGCGAGTCGGCGCGGAGAATGAGGAAACCAGGAGCAGAAGGATGAGGATCCGTCTTGTCTCTGTATCCGATATGTACCGCTCGCAATGGAGCTCTTCTTTCAATTGCGTCTCTCGATGTCGACGCTACCATAGAAGCGAGCGAGAGCAGGAGAGGAAGCCAGGTCGACTGGGACGCGTACCTCACCTGGGCGGTCGATCCGTTCAAGCTCGCAACGGCCCGGTGTCGAAGACCGCACGCAAATTCACAGTCACTTCTGCGCGTCCCCTCTCCTTCGGTTTTTGACGCCGGAAGCCGTTGCTGACGTTGGTCGACCTCCTCCTCCTCCTCGACCCTCCTCCCTCCTCTCCTCCCCTTCTCCGTCCAACTCGCTCCTCCTTCTTCCCGCGCTCCTCCTCGTTCTTCTCGACTCCGCACATGCAGACTCTCTCCTCAAGAACGGAGACGCAGGCGTTATGGAAAGCGAGAGATCAAAGGAGGATGAGTGTTGGTAAACTTTGGGAGTGTTGAGCTCCTCGGATTGCACTGTTGAAGACATCGACAATCTGCTTTGAACTGAAGACGAAAGGACGGGAGGGGACGACTGTTGAGAGGGACACACTAGCTACACGCGCAGGGGCGCAGGGGTGATTTTTTGGCGGGTATGGAAATGAATGCGCGAGCGAGTGGAATCGCCGCTTGGGTAAAGGTGGGTGAGGGCACAGCGAGATAGAGAAAGAGAGGGAGAAAAGGTGGACGGCCGTTGAGGCACTAGGTGTCCGGATGCGAATGCGATGTTGAGATGCGAGAGAAAAGAAAGGGGTTTCGTCGACGAGCACGCTGTTTAGGCGTACTCCTGACGAGCCCACTTGGCAACGGCGACGAGGTTCTCGAGAGCAGCCTTGACCTCAGTCCAGCCACGGGTCTTGAGACCGCAGTCGGGGTTGACGAAGAGGCTGCGGTCCGAGAGCGTCAGTCTGGGGCAAACGACGCATCAGAACGATGACACGTACTGCTTCTGGTTGGGCAGGGCAGCCTTGAACGCCTTGAGGCGCTCCTTCATCTCCTCGACTGACGGGACACGCGGCCTGCAGAGACGGCGACATCGTCAGGGACTGTTCCTGCGGCAACGGGCACGACGAGACTCACGAGTGGATGTCGCTGTAGTAGGGAAGAAGGAGAGGCGGAAGTCAGTGCGTGCACGGGCGAGACGAGGGCACGCAGACGCGGGCAGGACGAGGAGAGGTCGACGCACTAGAGACCAGGACCGATCAAATTCTGGTACCCGAATTTGTGGAACGCCTGCAAAAGCTTGAGGTCGCTCTTCGAAGCCTCAATCGAGATGACGTCCTGCGCGGCGGAAGGGTCAGCGGGCGAGCGAAAGGAAGGGGGAGGAGGAAGGGGACGAACGGCGTCGAGGCGCTTGATGTGCTCGAAGATGAGGTTGAAGTCCGAGTAGCCTGTTTACGGGTGATGGAGAACGGGAGGAGGAGGGAGGAAGAGGGTCGGGAGGAGGGGGTCGACCAACGTCAGCAACGGCTTCCGGCGCCAAAAAACGAAGGGGCGAACGCACAGAAGTGACTGTGAATCTGCGTGCGGTCCTCGACACCGGCCGTCGCGAGCTTGAACGAGTCGACGGCCCAGGTGAGGTACGCGTCCCAGTCGACCTGGCGCAGGGGCAGTCCCTCGCGGATCGCGGGCTCGTCGACCTGGACGGCAAAGATGCCCGCCTTCTCGAGGTCGACAACCTCGTCGCGGAGTGCGAGGGCGAGTTGCTTGCACTGGACTTCCTTCGGGACGTCGGCGCGCGGGAAGGACCAGTTGAGGATCGTGACGGGGCCGGTGAGCATGCCCTTCATGGGACGCTTGGTGAGTGACTGGGCGTACGAGGACCAGCGGACGGTCATCGGGTGAGGGCGCGAGACGTCCGAGACGACGATGGGCGGGCGGACGTAGCGCGAGCCGTACGACTGGACCCAGCCGTTCTCGGTAAAGACGAAACCCTTGAGCTGCTCGCCAAAGTACTGCGACATGTCGTTGCGCTCGGGCTCGCCGTGGACGAGGAGGTCGAGGTCGATCTGCTCCTGGAACTCGACGGCGTGCTTGATCTCGTTCTCGAGGAAGCACTCGTACTCCTCCGTCGAGAGCTCGCCCTTGGTGTGCTTCGAGCGCGCGAGGCGGATCTCCTTGGTCTGGGGGAACGAGCCGATCGTCGTGGTCGGGAACGTCGGGAGGTTGTACACCTTGTCCTGGGCGGCGATGCGCGCGGGGAACGACGACTTGCGGTGGTACATGTCCTGCGAGACCTTGCCGAGGCGCTCACGGACCGCGGCGTCCGAGTTCTTCTCAAAGTCGCGGCGGGCCTGGATCGACTTCTTGTTCGCCTCGAGGGCGGACGAGACATCCTCGCCCGAGAGGGCCTTGGCGAGGGTGGCGACCTCGGCCGCCTTCTCCGTCGCGAACGAGAACCAGTCACGCTCCTCGGGCTTGAGGCGCGTCTCGTTGGCGAGGGTGACGGGGGTGTGGAGGAGCGACGACGAGGTAGCGACGACGACGCGGTCCTTTCCGAGCTGCTCAATGGCCTTGTTGGCAATCGCGAGCGAGGCAGCCAAGTCGTTCTTCCAGATGTTGCGTCCCGAGACCAATCCGAGCGAGAGCTTGAGCGACGTAGGCTTGACAGCCGCGACGACCGAGTCGAGTTGCTCAGGCGCGCGGTCGAGGTCGATGTGCAACGAGTCGATGGGGAGCTTGGCGACAAACTCGACGTTCTTGTCGAGGCGTCCAAAGTAGGTCGCTAGGGTGACCTTGAGTCCCGGTGCGGCGCGCGCGAAAGCCTCGTACGTCGACTGGTACTGCTGGCCGAGGTTGGCGGTGACGTCCATCACGAGCGAGGGCTCGTCGATCTGGACTTTGGTCGCGCCGGCCTCCTCGAGCTTCTTGAGGAGCTCCGAGTAGACGGGGACGAGCTTGTCGAGGAGCGAGAGGGGCTCAAACGACGCCGCGTTGGGCTCGTCGCGGCCGACTTTGCCGAGGAGGAGGAGCGTGATAGGACCGACGAGGACCGGGCGGGTGACGATGCCCGCGGCCTTGGCCTCGAGGAACTCGTCGACGGGCTTGAGGTTGTTGAGCTTGAACTCGGTAGACGACGAGACCTCCGACTTGATGTAGTGGCTGCGTGCACGCATGTCGTCAGTACTGCGCTCTCACTCCAGCTCAAGCGCGGGGGAACTGACTAGTTCGAGTCGAACCACTTCTGCATCTCCTGAGCCTCGAGGTCGACGTCGCCGACCTGGCGACCGCGGCCCATGGCAAAGTAGCGGTCGAGGTCCGAGACGTTGGCCTTGGCGAAGCGCGAGGGGATGATGTTGAAGGTGTAGTTGGCATCGAGGACGTGGTCGTAGAGGGTGAAGTCGCCGCTGCGAGGAGGAAGGCATGCGTGAGCTTCGAACTCGGCCATGACGCACGCCCAGACGGTGCTGGTCCGTCTGCACGCCCGTCAGAGAGCGAGGAGCGCCGAAACTCACGAGGGAATCACGTCGACGCCCTGGGCCTTGAGGGTCTGCCAGCGCTCGGCACGCTGCTCCTTGGCGACCTTTTGCAACTCGTCCGCCGAGATCTTTCCAGCCCAGTACGCCTCGGTGGCCTTCTTCCTGTCGACGAGCGAGCGAGTAAAGCGGGAGGGTCAGTCGCGGTGTAATCTTTTCCACGTGGGGCGGCGAGGACGGGGGTGGTCGAACGATGCGAGAGTGAGGGAGGGGATGAAGGGGACGCACACTTCACGCTTTGCGCCGATGCGCGGGTATCCGAGTACGGCTGAGCGGGTCATGCTGCGAGGTGAGAATGGGCGAGGTGAGCGGGACACGTTTGGGGGTGTGTTGGGACGAGGCGAGGGGTGTGCGAGTGAGGGTGAGTGGATGGAGAGTGGATGGTCGCTGTGTGTGCGTGTGTAGGTGTGGGATGCTCACGTTGGAGGAGAGAGTAGTGGATGAAGGAAGAGAAAGAGAGAAGAGAGAGCGAAGAGGGCAAGCACACCTTCGCCAACCTCCGAGTCAATCCGCTCCGCGCTCGTCTCCATCGCCTCTGGGTCAAGCGGGACCACTGTCGACGAACACGGCGTGCAATCACTGATAAGATCCACCCTCCCCCAGACTCGCATCTCGAGGGTGAATGGTACAGGCGGTTGCCGGCGACAGGGGAACACACAAGAGTGAGAAAGGCGCTGGGACACGGGTTCGTCCATGGCACTCGCAGGCAGGAGCACGGTGTTCAGTAGTCCTGTGAGAACCTCGTGCAGGGACAGCTCGAACAGGCTCGCCATCTCGCGGCGTCGTCGTCCTCCTTCGGCACCGACCGTCCGCCGCGCTCTGCTGTTCTTCGCAACCGCATCATCGCTCACCCCGCCCGCTCTCAACCTGCTAGCAGCACAGTGCCATATACCCGCCCAGCAAGCCACCCTGGCACGCGCGGCACCCTGGCCTCGCTCGACCCCGACCTCGACCTCCCGAGTTGTTTGCTCACGCCGACTTGAACGGCACCGTGCGCGATGAGCTTCCAGTTCGAGTGGCCCGAATTCTCAGAGGCGTTCTACGAGGACGCGAGGGAGATGCTTGCGCAGGTGCGTCCTCCCCTCGCTCAAAGTGCAGGGTCAGGCGACGAGGGAGTTGTTTCCTCGGAACTTGGAGAGCTGACCTGCTTGATGGTATCGTTGGGGCGACGCAGGCGCTCAACAAAGGCCAGAAACCGCCCATTATCGCAGACCGGATCGAAGTCAAGGAACTGAACATGGGGACTATCGTTCGTCCCTCTCTTCCTTCTCCTCCCTCACCAAGACTGACAACTCGCGCGCAGCCTCCAGATCTCGAGATCCTCGAGATTGGGGACTTGTCGACCGACCGCTTCAGAGGGATCTTTCGCCTCACCTACTCGGGCGACGCGTACATCGTCCTGCAAACCAAAGTCCAAGTTCGCCCTGCCCTCCCCTTCTAGAGACCCACGAGCTCGCTGACGCTCGCTCACTCGCGCAGGCCAACCCACTCAACGTCCCGCGCCCCTCAGTCGACATCCTCAATGCCCCCCGAATCCTCTTCGCCGCCGCGCCCCTCATAGTCCCCATGACCCTCCGCCTCTCCTCGCTCTCCCTGCGCGCCATCGTCGTCCTCGTCGTCTCGCGCCAAAAAGGCATCACACTCGTCTTCAAGAACGACCCGCTCGAATCGGTCAACGTCTCGAGCTCGTTTGATGGAGTCGAGAGTGTGGCGGGGTTCATCCAGAGCGAGATTGAGAATCAGTTGAGGGAGGCGTTTAGGAGCGATTTGCCTAGCGTCATTCATAGGTTGAGTCAGAAGTGGTTGAGTGGCGAAGTCAGGAGTGCGGGTAAAGCTGCCGAGGGGATGGGACCCAAGGCGCGAGTGGGACTCGCGAAGGGCTTCGCGAAGGACGCCAAGATCGAGACTCGTACGGCGTACGAGGCGGGCGCGGGAGAGGGAGTGGGGGCGAAGAAGGGACGCGGTTACTCGAGAAACATCTCGGGCCCGAGCGAGGCGGGCGAGAGTGTCGAGCTTGATTCGCAGGCTGATTCGACGTGGTCTACTTGGGGAGGTGGGCGGATGGGGTCGACCTACAGCGCATCGAGCGCATTCGGACGGTCCGCCTCCCTTCGACGCCTCAACACCGCTTCGACGTCCCCATCCCCAGCAGTCCCGCACGACATGCTCGATTCCGTACCCGAGTCGATCGAGAATTACGACCCTACGTACGGACTCAGGCCCGACTCGATCCCGCACCACGCTGGGTTCGCAGACTACGAAAGGTTGGTCGAGGCGAGGTCGTCGAGGCGGGGTTTGGGGGACGTCTTGATGGTTGTGGAAGAGGACGACGAGGATCCGTTCCTTGCGCACTCGAGTCATCAGCGGAGACGATCAGCGGACGAACTCGATTTCGACGACGAGCTGGGCGACGTCTTTGACGATCCAGGCGCGCGCAATTCGTTCGGCCCGCTCGACTATCGAGACGAGTTTGAGACGATCCCCGCCGTCGGAGGAGGGACGATTACCCGACCCCGGGTCTTCCACACGCAGTCGCAGATGCGGGTGCGGACAGGCTCGACCGGCTCGCTCACGGCGCACGGGAGTCCGTCAACTGCGACAGCGCGGAGTGCGACGGGCGGGTCGACTGCTTCGACGGTCGGGTTGGGCAGGTCGACGTCGTTGAGTCGCTTGACGCCGCTTGCGGCGGGACTGGGCGCACCGTCCGTCTCGGGCGCGTCGAGCGCGAGGTTCCCTTTTCCTAGGGTTGCGCCACCGCCCGCTTACTCTGCCAGCCTTGGACCAGGGGGTTTCCTCCCGCGCAATACGTCGCTGCCGAACCTCTCGCGGTACCCGTCGTCCGCCTCGACCGCCTTCCACCGCTCTTCCCTGTCGGGAACATTCTCCTCCTCGTCGCACTACGACTACTGGCGCAACTCGAACGACTCGACGCCTCCTTCGTCACTGACTTCGCCGGCTCTCCCTCCGCACCCGCCTCCTCACGCCGACAATCCTCCCTCACTCGCCTTCTCGCGCCCCTCCCCCGTCGACCTCCTCTCCCGCTCCCCCTCATCGGTCCTAAACACCTCCTACGAAGACCCGGACGCTTCTCACCTGCCCATCGTCCTCAACCCAAACGGAAACGATTCCTGCGCGCATCTCGCGACACTGACGAGTTCGAACCAGACGCTCAGTCCGTTCACGAGGGACCATTCGCATGTCAAGGCGCGGAGCGAGCCGTATGTCGCGGGAAGGCTCGCGCCTACTGCGCCGCTTGCGGGACAGGGGCAAGGGAGGGTCGCGATTGTGCCCAGTGGCAGTGCGGCGGGTACGGCGGGCAGCGGATCGGCGCAGGGTCCGACTCAGTCTGTCAAGGCGGTGCGGAAGAGGTTGCACAGGATCGGGTCGGCCAAGGTTGCGCCTGTCGCGGGCAGCGCGACTCCGTCTCTCGCTGCTCCGCCCACTCCGTCTCTCATCAGCGCCTCCGCCGGTCCTCACCACCGCCGCACGCACTCCGGCTTCTCCGCCTTCCCGCCACCGTCTTCGCTCCTCGCTTCCTCCTCCCGTCGCTCATCTTCCATCCCGCGCTCCACGACCTCCTCAGCAGTCCCAGCTTCCCCGCTGCACTCGACTTTCGCAGCAGCAGGGTTCAAGAAAGCCCCGAGCGAGCTGAGCGATTACTTTCCGGCTGCGACGGCAGGCGCGAGGGAGGCGTTGTCAAGGTTTGGCAGGTGAACCGAGGGAAGTGCTGTATTACTCGCGAGTGGATATGTGTTGCTTGTAACTTCTTCTTGCAAGAACAGGATTGGATTCAAACGGGCTTCTTTGGCGATTCCTGGAAGAGATTGGTACAACGATAAGAGGGAGAGAACGGGACGGGACAGACTAGGCGAAACAAGCAACAAGACAGACGCACTATCGACACCAACCGCACCTCACAACGACCTCCTCCTCCTCTCCTCCCCACTCCCTCCGCTACTAATCCTCCCCTCGACCTCCCTCCCACGCATCACAACTCCCGCAACCATCTCCACGAACCTCCTCACGTCCTCCTCCTCGTCACTCTCCAGCAACATCGGGCTATGCTCGACTTCGATTCGCCGAGGGAGGCGCGACCAGTGCGCTTTGAGAATCGAGAGGGAGGAGAGAGTGAGCGAGTCGTTGCCTGAGAGACTGAGCGCGAGGGTTCGAGGTGAGATGGAGGTGGTGTCGAGGGAGAATGAGGGAGGAGGAGGGGCGAACGACAGCCCTGTTAGGTCTGCCGCGCTCAGCCAGAGATGGCTCAGGTCGAGCGACTCGAGCCCGTGCGGGAGGTCTCCGATCGCTTCGGTGAGTGGGCCGAGTGGGAGGTAGGGAGTCGTCGACAGGTTGAGGTGTTTGAGCGAGGGCAGGTGGGTTGAGAGCGGGAGTGGGAGGGACGAAGTCGAGGACCAGGAGAGGTCGAGGTTTTCGAGACATTGGAGGGGCGATCGCTGGGACGTATCTGAGGAAGGGCAGAGGAGGGGGAAGAACGAGGAGATACGTCGGCACCCTTTCAGGCGCAAAGAGCGGAGATTTGAGAGTGCAGATTCGGGTGCGGATGAGGTCGTCTCGGCGAGGAGGAGCAAGTCGCTATCCGTCACGCCCGAGAACGACAAGTCGAGAGTCGTCAGGCGGTCTGAGCAGCTCGAAAGGAGGTGTGAGAGAGTCGTCGAGGGAAAGGAGCGGAGACAGAGGTGTCGCGTGCCGGAGAGGATCGAGGGTAGAAAGGCGAGTAGTTGCGGGTGAACGTGCGGGATATGCGTGAGCGAGACGGTGTGGTACAGGTGGGGCTTGGCGAGCAAGTCGCGGAACTGCAGGTTGCCCGTGTCAGCATGACGGGCCGAATGAGGAAGGGAAGGACATGATGTCACTTGGCGGTTCGCGCGCCTCAGCCGTCCCAGGTCCTCCAGGTCGAGGAAGCTGATGACGAGCTCGACAATCTCGATGGGTAGCCGGTCAAACAGGCGAACGGAGCAGGGAGGGAGGACCTTGCGTCGTTTCGAGGCGGGAGGCGAGGGTGCGGCGACGGGTACGAGGCGGAGATGGAGGGCGGGGGCGACGCATTGGTGTGCATGTCCAAGTGTGCCGTGTCGAGGGTATGTCTGGCAGGCTTCAACGGCGGGCTGGAGGCAGGTTGTCGCCATCCTCGGGGAGAAGTGGGGTTGTTGACAGGTCGACGCAGGCGGATCGGGGCGAGTTGCGGATTGACGGGATGGCTTGTGTGTGTCGTAGCAGTAGTGTTAGCGTATCTAGCAAGCGTCTGAGCCTATCGAGCGAGTTGAGGTGAGAGCAAGAGCGAGGCCTCATTGTCAAGGCGGTGTTGGCGGTGGACCTCTCCCCTCGACACCGTCTGGCGGGTCGACGCTGGTTTGCACACGTCTCTACAGCCACCCTGACTGCATCGGCGTGCAGGAAACTCCCGCCCGCGGTGACTTGACCCCTTGCCATCCTCGTCGCCTTGCTTTCATCAGCCCAGGTCAGCCATGGCTTGAAGAAGCTCGCTCGCTCTTCTGCTGCTTCCTGCTCGCCAAAAGGGAACACGCACAGTCACGCTGGCTTACATAAGTGCACGCTCCTTGTCCTGCGCTGCACTCGTCCTTGCTCTCTCCCTCCTCTTCATCTCGCCACAACCCCTCACTCGCCTCACCCGGCAGCCACCCTCGCAAGCCGACTTGACGCATCCATCAGCTTCACCCGACATCGCACTACAAGCCGATACAGCAATGAGCGCAGCACAGGTCTCCCGCTCCGTCGTCAAGAAGGTCCTCGCGGTTGTGCGTAACACTTCCGCTACCATCCCTCGCTCAGAGCTGACCTCCTCCTTTCCGCAGGAAACGCCCGAAGGCGCAGGCGCGACTGTCCGTCGCTCGATCGGCACGGCTCAGCTCCGCAACTTCACCCCCTTCCTCATGCTCGACAACGTGCGTCCTCGTCCACCTTTCCTCGCGGCACCCGTGTTGACCTTCTTGCTCCGCACAGTTCCTCGTCAAGGAGGGCGCAGGCTTTCCCGACCATCCCCACCGCGGCATGACCACCCTCACGTACATGCTCGAAGGCGAATTCGAGCACGAAGACTCGAAGGGCAATAAGGGCAAGATCGGGCCGGGCGACCTCCAGTTCATGATCGCGGGAAGGGGCCTCGTGCATGCTGAGATGCCCATCCACGGACCGGGCAAGAAGGACCCCTTCGGACTGCAGCTGTGCGTTCACGTCGCTTGTCTCGTTCTGCGTTCCGTGACTGACAGTCTCCGGTCTTTTTCGCTTGCAGCTGGATTGATCTCCCTGCCCGCTACAAGAACGTCGAGGCATCCTACCAGGACCGCAAGGCATCTGAAGTTGCTTCGTGCGTCTCGTCTCCGCCCGACTCCCGTCTTCCCTCGTTTCTAACCCTCTGCATCCTCCTTGCGCAGCGCCCACCCTACTCCCAACGTCGAGATCAAAGTCGTCTGCGGCGAGTCGCAAGGCTCGGAAGAGGAAGGAATCGTCAAGGGAAACGTCCGACCACTCGGCGGATGCTGGTTCATGGACTTTATCGTCTCGAAGAAGGGCGAGCGGGTCTTCCAGCAGCTTCCGGTTGGCTGGAACGCTTTCGTGCGTGGTGCCCTTGATTCCTTCGTTTTGCAGGAACTGACGATGAGCTTGTTCGCAGGTCTACACCCTCGAAGGCGAGACGCTCATCGGACCCTCCGACTCTCCGCGCCCTCTCAAGCCCGTCGAACAATACCACACCGCAGTCCTCTCGAACTCGGATTCCGAGAACGGCGTCTGGTTCGAATCCGCCAGCAACAAAGCGCGCTTCGTCCTCGTTGCCGGCGAGCCATTGAAGCAGGGCGTCGTGCAGCATGGTCCGTTCGTCGCGACCTCGAGGGAGGGAATCCAGAAGGCGTTCTTGGATTACCAGATGCAGAAGAACGGCTTTGAAGGCGCGCATTCGTGGAGGTCCGAGATTGGGAAGAGGGTGCGTTCGCTCTTCGCCGCTCTTTCTGCGAGGACCTCACTGACGTCTTTCCCCTTACAATGCACCTGCAGATGACCTGAGCGCACGATTCACGTACCGCCCCGTCTGGCACGTTATCGACACCCTCGCAACGACCGTCTTCCTCTCTCTTTGCCCTCTTCCGTAGATACATCAGCGTTGTAAAACTACTCTATCGAATGGCCGTGCCTCCCGCGAGATCAAGATAGCTAGCCTCGTCTGTCCCGTCCGCCCTCCGCTTCTCCTCCTTCCTCCGACCCATTTCTCCCTCCTGCACTTCACAACTCACCCGCAGAAACGTTGCCCAACGTGCTCCGTTCACTCACGCTCGTCAACACCGCTCGTCGCACAGTCGCAGCCGGTCCCAAGCACTTCGCTCGTCTCGCGCATCCTCATCAGCCTTTCCCCACCTTTGGCTGTTCGAACGGTTGCAGTGCCCCTAGATACCGGCAGGTGCGCCCTGACGTCTTTTTGGCCTCCACACGCGTACTCAGGTTGTGGCGCCAGTCGTGCGAAGCGCGGAACGTGTGGGAGCCTCCGATGGATGGGGCGAGGTGGAGGAGGGCGAAGCTGGAGAAGGGATGGCAGGGGCGTGGGAAGGACGACGCGGATCGCGTCTGTGTGGATTGATTCGTCGCTCAACGGCCCAACGAGCCGCTCCGTGCGCGCATCGCGGAAAGCATCCTCTCCTCGAAATCCCGAAGTCTCGCTCCTCGTACTGACCCGCGCTCTTTCGTTGCCGGGCAGTTCTCTAGCCCTAACATGGCTTTGCACAACTCCGAACCGAATTGCATCTTCTGCAAGGTGAGCGACCGTTGCTCGGTTCCGCCTCTCCTGCCGGTCGACCGGCTCTTCTCTGTCGAAGACAGTCTTCGGCTCTCGCTTGAAGGCGAAAGTCACTGACCATATGCGTCACTCCGTAGATCATCAAGGGCGACATTCCGTCGTTCAAGCTGATCGAGACGGATGCCATGTGCGTTCGGCTTTCCTTCGCCACCTTCCCGTCTGCGCACCCTGACCAGCTTCTCCCTCTGCAGCTACTCCTTCCTCGACATCGGACCTCTCTCGAAGGGCCACGCCCTCGTCATCCCCAAGTGTCCGCCCCTGTCCCACACTCTCAACCTCGCCTTGGCTGACAAGCGATGTGCTCTCGGTACAGACCACGCCCCCAAGCTCCACGACGTTCCCGACGAGCACCTCGGTGAGATCCTCGCAACGCTCAAGAAGATTGCGGTTGCGCAGGGCGTCGAGAACTACAACATCTTGCAGGTCAGTCGTACGCTCATCTTTCGCGTCGGCGGCTGTATGGATAGTCAGCGGGCGATGCTTTGACGGCGAGACGAACTCTGACATGTGACGACTCCCGCAGAACAATGGCAAGATTGCGCACCAGGTCGTCGACGTGAGCCTCCCCTTCGCCTGCTCACCCACTCGAGTTCGATGACTGATCACTGCTCTCGTCCTCGTCCTCGCCCGCAGCACGTCCACTTCCACAGTCCGTTCCTCACCCTGCCGCTCCCTTCGTCCCGCTCGCCTCGCTGACTACCCGCTTGCGCTCTTCCTTCCGCAGTGATCCCCAAGCCTTCGGACTCGGACAAGGAGGGACTCGTGATCGGCTGGCCGGCGCAGCAGGCGAACATGGATGAGCTGAAGAAGTATTGGGAGGAGGTCAAGGGGAAGCTTTGAGCGGGCGACGGCGTATCTGCGTGAGTGGAGGAGGGGAGAAGGCAGGAGCGTGGGAGGTCAAGCTACGAAGCGACGGAGTAGCTGGTGTGCAGAATTGGAGCAAAGCAGTACATGTGCAGCGCGCGAGACCCAAAGGACCTGAGAGAGCGAAACCACTGCCTCTCGTTCGAGCCTCGCAGGGTTGATTGGCCGGTGCGCTCCTTAGACCGCCGAGCGTGAAGCAGCACGACAACGACAACTTGCGTAACATTGCGAGTGGTGTATGCGTGGGCAAGTCAATGTATCGAGCGCCGTCCGTCCGCCTCCACCGCTTCCTCAAGTCGCCAAACTCCGTCCTGCGCACCTTCCGCTCCGTCTACTTCCCCGCCACTCTCGCCTGCGCACCCTGCGCCTCCTGACCGGCATCCAACCCCCAGAACCGGTTAAACCTCATCCTCACTCCCTCCCACCCATCCAACGCCGGCCGCGCGTCAATAAAGAACGCCAGATTAGGGCGGAAGACTTCTTCAGGTCCCTTATCGGGATTTGAGGGCGAGGGAGGCAGGATGAGAGGAGCGGAGGGGGAACGGCCGGTGTAGAAGTCGATTACGTAGCGGATGCGGAGAGATGAGGGGGTCAAGTCGGGAGATGAGGGGGCGGGCGTGACGGCTGAGGAAGGTGAGGAGGAGGAGGCGGCTGGGAGAGCGGGTGGCTGGAGCGGACGGTCGACGATCCAGTCGTGTCGGTCGAAAGGGGCCGTGTAGCTGCGGAAAGCGGAACGGGTCAGCCTCTCGTCGTTAAACAGACGCTCAGGAGCACACGCACCCGATCATTGACTTCCACCTCGCCCTCGGGCTCATCTCCTTTGGCTTGCCAACGAAGCTGACGAGCCTGCTACCCGTCTCTTCGCCTTCCTTCAAGCCCATCGCCTTCCGTTCCCAGTCGAGGATCTGTTGCCACACCCGCTCGTTGACCGCGTTGTGTATAGGGACCACAACGTCCATGTCTTCCGCCCGCGGGTTGCGCTCCTTGCGCTGGAGAGCCGTGTAGAACGAAGCGGGCGAGGGGTACACCCAGTTCTCCTCCGAGGGAACCGTCGCTGCTGCCTCGGCCGAGTTGACGTTCTGCTCATGCATCGGACACGCTGGAGGTGGGTCGTCTGAAGATGGGTGAGCATCCTTGATTGCCGATGTCGAAGCTGCAGAGGGAGTCGAGGCGGAGGACGAGGGGAACCAGCGCGGGATGGTCGAGACTTCTCGCTCGGTCGAGAGGTGTTTTGCGCGAGGGTCTGATGCAGGGAACGAGTGCGGCGCGGCGGGAGACGAGGCGGATGCGGAGGGGTTCGCGGTGAGCCAGGACTGTCGGGTCGTGTGGTCGACGGGGCAGGCCGACTGTTGTTCGGTCGGTTGTGCGGGCGCCGTAGCAGTGCCCGTGAATGGCCAGACCATCTTCAGCGGTAGTTGTCGAGAGTGAGCGTGAGTGTGAGGAGGACGAGGTGAGGGAGGCGGTGTCAGCTCGCGGCAGTCGCTACGAAGGGGTTCGTGAGCCACCTTACGAGGTTCAAAAAGTCTTATGAGGCGGACCGAGCAGCCCAGCTATTTTCCAGACGTTGACGCCCTTCCCTCCCCTCCTCCGCTTCCCTTCTTCCGCTCACATCGCTCACTGCTGCCAAGCATGGCTTCGCGGGTGCTGTCGCGCGCCTCTACGCTCGAGAACAAGCTAGACTCTCTCTCTATTCACGACGAAGCTCCGCCTGAGCAGCTCAAGCGCACCTCGGTCGCTCACAAACCCGCCAACCCAAAGGTGCGTCTCCTCGTAGCCCTCTAAGCTAGACTGCCTCGTGCTGATCCTCAGACATTCACGTAGCTTGCGCCTATTCGACCATCGAATGCCGCGGCTCCCTCGTCGACTCTCTCAGCCCAGCCAACCTCGTCCGCACCGTCTTCATCCAACATCAACCGCCAACCGTCTCTCAAGCTCGCGACTGCCAACTCGGCAGCTTCACGGGCTTCTAACGCGACTGGTGGAAAGTTGAGAGTGCCGAACGGGCCGGGCGCGAACGCGGGAGGAGCGGGAACCGGCTTGCAGAGCAAGTTCCGAGGAGGAGGTGCGAATGGGGGCACATCTCCGGGTGCTGCTAGCTCTTCCGCCGCGCCTTCAACATCCACGCGACCACTTCCGACCGGCACTTCCTCGCGAACCGCTCAGCCTCCGTCCTCATCCTCTCCGCCTCCCTCAGACGTTCCCTCCGACATCGGCACTTACGATGGCGGCTTCGAGCGCGACGAGCAGCGAAGAGAGAAGGAGCGAGAGGCGGCGGGTGGAGGTCAGGCGATCAAGGGTGAGGCGGTCAAGATATTGGCGATGGACTCGAGCGCAGCTGGTCCGTAAGTCGGCTAAATGATCCTCTCCCAGGCAGTAGCAAAGGCATCCCCATCGAGGCTGGCCTCGATTGCTATTGCACCGTAGAGTCGAGCGTTGTTGACCTTATGATGCTGTTGCCCTCAGCCACCGCCCGACCCAGCGCTTCTCCCTCTCCTCCTTCGAGATCGGCAAACCCCTCGGCAAGGGCAAGTTCGGACGCGTCTACATGGCTCGAACACTGGTCGAGCCAAAGTACATCGTCGCGCTCAAGTGCTTGCACAAGGAGGAGCTCGTCAAGAACCGCGTCGAGAAGCAGGTTCGGAGGGAGATCGAGATTCAGAGTCATCTTGCGTAAGTCGGAGGTGTTTCGCATGAATGTCTTGCATGCGCTGCCCTTGCAAGGTCGTATGCTGACTCGGTTGTGCGCCCGCGTTGTAGCCACCCCAACATCCTCCGCCTGCACGGCTACTTCCACGACGAGACGCGCATCTTCCTGATCCTCGAATTCGCCGGCCGCGGCGAGCTGTACAAGCAACTCTCCAAGTGCGGGCGGTTCAGCGAGAAACGGAGTAGTCGGGTGCGTCCCGCTCCTTCCTTTCCTCCACGCGCAAGACTGGTGCTGACTCGTGCGCGACAGTACATCGCCCAAATGGCCGACGCGCTCGCCTACCTCCACGCCAAGCACGTCATTCACCGCGACATCAAACCTGAGAACATCCTTATCGGCATGAACGGCGAGCTCAAGATTGGCGACTTTGGCTGGAGCGTCCACGCGCCTGGCAACCGGTGAGTTGCCGCTGTCCCTCCCTAACGATCGAAGTTATGCTGACGAGACGGCAACGCTATGTAGCCGCTCAACTCTCTGCGGAACACTCGACTACCTCCCGCCCGAGATGGTCGAGAACCGCGAGCACACGGACAAGGTCGACCTTTGGGCTCTCGGCGTCTTGTGCTACGAATTCTTGGTCGGAAATCCGCCTTTCGAGGATTTGTCGGGCCATCAGGGTGAGTTGGACCGGTCAAGCTGTCGTGTTGTCTGTTTGCGGGTGGTCGAGTCGGACTCGCTCGAACGGACTGGAGGACGATGGCCAGTAGCCAATGCTGACGCTCTCTACCATGTGCTAACAGCGACCTACAACAAGATCACCCGGCTTCAGTACACCATTCCCGCGACCGTCTCTCCCGAAGCCGCCGACCTCATCCGCAAGGTGCGTGCCCTCCTCCACATCCTCCTCTCGCGGATCTCCCGCGGACACTACCGCATCTGCTCTCTTGTCTTCCCTGTACTGACCCCTTCCCGCCCGCAGCTCCTCCGCATCAAGCCCGAAGACCGCCTTCCGCTCTCCGAAGTCCTCAAGCATCCCTGGATCAAGAAATACGAGAAACGGTCCTTTTCGTCCGTGCCGAGCAGTTTGGCGTCGTCCAGGGCTAGTACCGTCGCTTAGGGCACGCGTGAGGAGGAGCGGGAGGAGCGGTTGGAGTTTCGCAGAACTTGTTGTGTTGAGTAGAGTCTCTGACATTTGTACATTCGAGAGGTCGTTGTGTCACAGTTTTTGCTGGCTGTGAGGGAGCGGAGCACAAGCAGCAATCCATCGAGAGGAGACACGCTTGCGAAGGTCGCCTCTCTCCCTCTTCATCCTCCACGAGTGACAAAGCGAATCCAAGCGACTTCCCCTCTCCAGCCCTTACAAGCAAGCGCTCCTCCCCGTCTTCCTACTCATCCGCCGCCGCCGACGACCCGCCCTTGTTCTTCGTAGCAGTCTTGACAGGACCCTGTTCCTCGCCCGTCTGCTCAGAGTCGGCATGGGCTTGCTCGAGTTCCGAGAGGGTGCGTTCGGCTTCCTGTTGACGCGCACGACCCATGGAGCTTGTCAGTGGAGGACGCGGAGAGGAAAGGGGGGGACGAACCTCGCGAGTGGAAGAGGCCATGGCAGGGTTGTGAGCGACGGCTTTGTAGCCAGCCTGGACGCGGGTGTAGTCCTGGCGAGCCTCGCCTCAACGTCAACTCGAGTCGTCCACAGCGGGCGGGAACGAGAGGAGGAAGTGAGAGCGGAACGCACCTTCTCCGACTGGATGTAGCCCGACGGGTCCGTCTCGGTCACCTTGTTGCCTTCGACGTAGAGCTCGTGCGACATTGTGTGCGTGTGTGTGTGTTCGCGTCGTGAGTTGTGAGCGGGAGAGTGAAAGGGAGAAAGACGCAGAGCAGGCGGTCGGGCGGGTTGACGTCGCGGATCGAGCGGGTCTGCAGCTCGCGCAGATCGGTGACGATGGAGGTCAACGGAGACTGCAGCGACGCGACTACTGCAGGAGATGCAGAGGGAGAGATCGACCTGACCTTCCCAACTCGAGGAGACCGCTCTCCTCCCTCACTGCTCCCTCCTCGACGCTCTCACTGCTCGAAGCGGCGGTTGACTAAGCTGACAAGGTGCTACACCCGACGCTGACCCTGCTACGACCGTCTCCTCGTCGTCTGTGCCCGAAAACCCGCTTCCACTTGCCCACGTCCGCCACCCTCTCCGACGCTGTCCCATCAACGTCCGTTCCTCCCTCGTACCGTACATCGCCAGTACTCGTACGTAGCTCGACTGTTGACCTCCGAAAAAGGCTTTCCTTGGCGCCAGGTGGCGGTGCAGCCGAAGTTGCGTCCCGATGCAGCGGTTCACCTCCTCCCTTCCCTCCGGTTCACTCGCACACCTCAAGAACACATGGTCAGCATCAAACACTTGCTCGAGAAACGCAGAGGTACGTCCGCACGACTCGCCCGCGCACGTTCTCCACCCGCTGACCTCGACTTTGCGTCGGTCGCTTGCAGGAGCTGGTGGCGCACGAGGAGGGGTCAGTGGAGGTGGTGGAGGGGGAAGGGGAGGAGGAGGGAGTAGCAGCGGTGGGAGCAGCTCGGGCGGGTCGAAGGACGGTGGGTCGTCTTCGTCGGGGTCGTCGAGCAAGGGAGGGACTTCGTCCGGTTCTTGTACGCTCGCTCTCTTCCTTCCAAGTCCCTGTTGTAGCTGACTTTTCTGTTCCATTGCTCGCCGCCTGCTCTGTTCTACCTGCGCCTTCGACCTCCCGCCATTCCTCGATGCCTCTTTCCCTTCGCTCGTCTGGAACGCTCTCATCGCCTCTCACCTCTCGCTTTCGCCGACACCAAACGCCCTCACTTTGCAGCCAACCGCGGCGGCCTCCCCGGCTACAGTCCCTCAACCTCGACCTTCGGCGGCGGTGCCCCTCGCACGATCCCAGGCGGCGGCGCCTTCGCCGGCCGTCAATTCGGCGGTGCGACACGCTCGTCCATCTACTCCGGCTACGGCTACGGCGGCGGGTACGGGACGTACGCGCGAGGCGCAGTGTTGGGCGGGATCGCAGGGTACGGGTACGGACGCGTCGCGGGCCTGGGATTCCCGTTCGGCTTTTGGCCGCTCTACTACGGCCCGCACTATTACGGGGACGACGAATACGGACCGCACAGCAACTCGTCAAGACCCGGTGGACCCCTTGCGGCGGCTTCGTTCTCCCCGCCCGGCGGGAACTCTTCTGCTCCGCCACAGTACATGGTCTATGGCGACCAAGACTCGGTGGGGAACGTCACGCAGGCACTGGCGTCGCAGTGTCAGGCGGTGGCGGTGGTCGGATCGACGCCTGTGACGGACAACGGGACGTACCCCTCCTCGACCAACACGACTCTTCTCCCCGCCCTCGACCCGATCAACGTCGAGTCCTACTACCGCGCGTCGTCGTTCGCTCTCTACTCCTTCTTCACCGACTCGGCGCAGCAAGGCTCGAACGCGACGACGAACTACACCGAGCCCATCTCGACTCCGCCGTTCAAGTACGATGCGAGTCTGAGGGACCGCTCGTTCGAGTCGTGCGTCAACGACACGATCTCGTCGACGTTGCCGATTGAGGATGGGTACCAGGGCGACTCGAGTGCTGCGACGGCGTTGTGGCGGAAGGGAGCGAGGGGAGAAGCGTGGGTTGCGACATTGGCGGCGGTGTTGGTGTTGAGCGGGGTTCGGTGGCAGGTCTCGCTCGTCGTCGTGCTCGCTGTTGTCGTTGCGCTTCACGGGCAGGCGTGAGGATGCGACTGTAAGTGCAGTAAGTTGTATTCTTTGCCGTGAATAGGACTGTGTTGTATTCGAGCATTACACCTGGCATCGATTGGACCCGCGTCACTTGCGCGAGAGGAAGAGTCGGTCGTTCGTCTGCACGCTCTGCTCGCTCGTGCTGCTCGTTCAGCTTGCTCGAGTGCAGTTCGACAGAAGGCCCCACGACAGCGGCTTTATCGTGATCCCATCCCTCCCCGCGCCCTCGTCGTCGTCACTCAGCGCTCTCGATCGCATCCTCCCTCGACCCGCTCCGCTCACCCTCGCTCTCCTCGGCCAGCGCTTCGCGAGCCATGCCGCCCTCGAAAGCTCCTCCGCCCGTTCCTCAGCAAGGCGCACCCGCATCCCTCTCTGCTCGCAGGATGTCGAACGCCCAGACCGGATCGGGGTCCAACACCCCCGTGCCGCCTCCCCAGCTCAGCCTCAACATCCCCGCAGCAGCAGCAGCGACGACGACCGGCGCAGGAGCAGGAGGAGACTCGCATGTCCCGCTCAAGCAGAACCTCGCGCCGCGCGAGGCGAGCGCGCCCAGCTTGAACGCCTCTGTCCAGCAACCGAGCAGCAGCGCCGGTGCCGGGGCGACGTCGGGGGCCCGCCTCGGACGCAGCGGGACCGTCAAGGCTTCGAGCGGCGGGGCTGGACGCAGGGAGAGTACAGACGCAGGCTACGAAGGCGAGATCGAGCGACACGGGCAGGCCAACGACTTTGTCGACGCCGACGACGACAGTGACGCCGATCAATCGACCAACGCCGGCGGTCGTCCCCAGCTCAACAAGCGCGGGTCGTCGGGCAACGTTCGTGCACGCGACCATGCAACCGGAGCATCCGCGACGGCGTCGAGCAAGTCGCCCTCGCTTCCCAACATTCCCGACGCCGAGTCGTTTGCCCGCTCGATGCAGAAGAACCTCAACCCATCGACCTCGTCGCACGCTCACCCGAGCCACCTCCCCTACCGCGGGAACGCCCACAAGGCCGGCCAGAACGCCCAGGGCCAGAAGCCGCGCTCGCCGAGCATGTCGAGCCTCCGCTCCGTCGAGGCGACGAGTCACCCGTTCCCGACGCCCGGTATCAAGCAGGCTCACGGATTCAAGTTTGACAAGTGGAAGTCGGTCGAGGAGCAGAGGCTCGACGAGGACGAGCGCAAGGAGAAGCACTGGAAGAGGTGGGGTCCTTACCTCTCCGAGAGGCAGTGGGTGCGTCCGCGGCTCTTCACCGTAGTTTTGACAGCAGCTCACGACGACGACTTCGACAGGCCACGGTCCGCGAGGACTACTCGGCAAACGGCGATGCCTGGACGCACTTCCCGCACGAGCACGCCCGCTCGCGCGCGTACCGCTGGGGCGAGGACGGCATCGCCGGCCTGTGCGACAACCACGGCCGACTGTGCTTCTCGCTCGCCATGTGGAACGGCGTCGACCCGATCCTCAAGGAGCGCCTCTTTGGTGTCACCGGTCACCAGGGTAACCACGGCGAGGACGTCAAGGAGCTTTACTGGTACCTCGACTCGACGCCCACGCACTCGTACATGAAGATGCTGTACAAGTACCCGCAGCGCCCGTACCCGTACGAGCAGCTCGTCCGCGAATCGACCAACCGCGGCCGCGACGTCGGCGAGTTCGAGATCACCGACACGGACGCGTTCGACGACAACCGCTACTGGGACGTCTTTGTCGAGTACGCCAAGGACGAGGACTGCGCAGAGGGCATCTCGATCCGCATCACGGCCTACAACCGCGGTCCCGAGACCGCGACCCTTCACCTCATCCCGCAGCTCTGGTTCCGCAACACCTGGTCGTGGCCCAAGGAGCGTCCGACCGGCGCCGACATGCCGTCCCTCAAGCAGGTCGGCGAGGGCGTCGTCCAGGCCGACCACAAGTCGATGGGCCGCTACTACTTCCACGCCAACTCTTCGCCCGCCCCCATCGGCCCGCGCGGCGGCAAGGAGGCGCAGGAGACGGTCTTTGTCGACGACGTCGTCAACCCCGAGCTCCTCTTCACCGACAACGACACGAACTTTGAGCGGCTTTACGGCGGAAACAATGCTGTCCCCTACACGAAGGACGCCTTCCACGACCACATCATCCACTCGCACCGCCCTCCCATGCCCGAGGCGTCGTCCGAGAAGCAGAACGGCGCGAACGGCGACGGCTACGACTCGGACTCGACTGCCGACGGCGCCTCGACCCCTCGTCCCGAGGACACGCGCCAGTTCGTCAACCCCGAGAAGAAGGGTACCAAGGTCGGAGCGCACTACGTCTTCCGCGACGTGCCCGGAAACGGCGGCTGCGCCGTCGTCCGCGTCAAGCTCACGACCAAGTCGGCCGAGGCGGACCCGTCGATCCAGGATGAGGAGGAGTTCGACACGGTCATCGAGGAGCGCAGGATGGACTCGGACGAGTTCTACTCGCGCTTCAACTCGGGCGCGCTCAGCGACGACCTGAGGAACATCATGCGCCAGGCCTTGTCCGGCATGCTATGGTGCGTCGCATTTCTCTCGATTGCTTGCTGGCTGCGCAGTTCACGCTGACGGTCCCTTCCACCCGCGCAGGACGAAGCAATTCTACATGTTCATCCAGAAAGAGTGGCTCGAGGGCGACCCCGGCCAGCCCGCTCCGCCGCCCGAACGCAAGTTTATCCGCAACCGCGAGTGGAAGCACATGCACATCGAGGACATCCTCTCGATGCCCGACAAGTGGGAGTACCCCTTCTTTGCCATCTGGGACTCGGTGCGTTTGCTTCTTCCTCTCCTTTCGCTGCGAGAAGACGGGACTGACCTCTGTCCGCGCGCAGGCCTTCCACTGCATCCCGCTCGCGATGATCGACCCCGCCTACGCCAAGAAGCAGCTCGACATCATGACCCGCGAGTGGTACATGAAGCCCGACGGCGCCTTGCCCGCCTACGAGTGGAACTTTGGCGACGTCAACCCGCCCGTTCACGCCTGGTGCGCTCGCCCGCTTCACGTCTCGCTCGCAATCTCACTGACTCGTCGGTGTACCGCAGGGCAACCTTCCGTGTCTTCAAGATTGAGCGCAAGATGCACGACCGCGAGGACCTTCCCTTCCTCGAGCGGGTCTTCCAGAAGCTCCTCCTCAACTTCACCTGGTACATCTCTTCTCCGCCGCGATGCGGATCCCGTTGTAGTTTTCCTTTCCTGATTCGTGCTCGCGTATAGGTGGGTCAACCGGAAGGACTCGGCGGGCGAGAACGTCTTCGAGGGCGGCTTCCTCGGCCTCGACAACATCTCGCCGTTCAACCGCTCCGAGAAGCTCCCGACGGGCGGCACGATGCGCCAGGCCGACGGTACCGGGTGGATGGGCTTCTACTCGCTCACGATGCTCAACATCGCCCTCGAGCTCGCCAAGCACAACCCCGTCTACGAAGACATTGCCAGTAAGTTCTTCGAGCATTTTCTCTTCATCGCGGACGCCATGACGTTCCACGATGGAGAGGCAAATGAGGTCTCGCTTTGGAACGACGAGCAGGGCTTCTACTTCGACGCCGTGAGATTACCCAGCTTTCCCTCCTCTGCTTCCGTCGCACTTGCTGACCACCTCGAGTCTTGCAGATCGCGTGGGCGCCCGACTCGATCCAGCAGCTCCCCGTCCGCTCGCTCGTCGGCCTCATCCCCCTCTACGCGACCCTTACCCTCGAGCCGAGCACGATCAAGCGCTTCCCCGGCTTCCGCAAGCGCATGGAGTGGTTCATCAAGAACCGGTCGAGCATCTCGAAGCGCAACATCGCCAACATGTCGCGTTAGTCGGCCTGGGCTTCTTCGTCTCAAAGCATCGGACTGACTGCTTTATCTCGCACAGTTGGCGGTAAGGGCGACCGCCGCCTGCTCGCGCTCGCCAACGAGGACCGCCTTCGCCGCATCCTCGAGCGCATGCTCGACGAGAACGAGTTCCTGAGCGAGTACGGCATCCGATCGTGCGTAACCCTGCATGCTCTTCTCGCGCTCGCCCGGACTGACAGCGTCCTCCGTTCGTAGTCTCTCGCGCTGGCACCGGGAGAACCCGTGGTCGATGAGCGTCAACGGCGAGGAGTTCAGCGTGCACTACTGGCCCGGCGACTCGCACAGCGGCATGTTCGGCGGCAACTCGAACTGGCGCGGACCGATCTGGCTCGCCACGACGTTCCTCCTCATCGAGAGTCTGCAGCGGTTCTACCAGTACTACGGGTCGGGATTCACGATGTCCGTCGTCGCTGTTTGTTCCCCTTCATCGCCGCGCCCGAGACTGACACTCTGCGTTATCCACCCGCAGCGAGTGCCCGACCGGCAGCGGAGACATGATGAACCTGGCGCAGGTCGCAGCGGAAATCCAGCACCGCGTCATCAACCTCTTCGCGAGGGACAACGAGGGCAACCGCGCCTGCAACGGCGGCAGCGAGCTCCTCAACAAGGACCCTCACTTCCGCGATTACGTTCCCTTCCACGGTCAATCGCTCGCTCTCCTTTCACGCTTGCGAGCGCGAAGCTGACGCTGCAGCCGCTCCCGCAGAGTTCTTCCACGGCGACTCTGGCAAGGGTCTCGGCGCTTCTCACCAGACAGGCTGGACTGGGTGCGTTCTGCTCTCGTCCCGCACTCTTGATTGACGCTGACGACTTGTCAATGTCGCAGCCTCGTCGCGTACTTCATCTGGTCCGTCGGCTCGACTGCCCGCCTCCCTCGCACTCCTCGCACGCCTCGCTCTGTCGCGTCAGAGTACTTTCACGATGTGATGACCCCGGGTGTCTCCGAGACCGAGATGAGCTCCGCCTTCAGCGACGTCGACAGCGCCGCCGAGTGGTCGCCCGATGAGCTGTAACCCGCCTCCCTCTCCTAAAACTTCCGCTTCCCAGTGCCTCCTTATGTTCTATAGACGTCCTTGCCGACTTGGCCGCCGTACAAAAAGATCCCCCTGCATTGCATCTCCGCCTGCAACTCTCGCTCGGTCGGCC